TTTACATTTCTTTTCAAATTACTAACAGTTTAACAGTTCAGAGCACGAGGGACCCTGCAGGACACAGATTGGGTTGCCCCATGTGTTTTCCTATTATGTCACATGTAAATTCCTAAAATCCTTACTTGACTTTTCATAAGTCACACTGCGAGTTAGGCGAGTTACTGCCTCTCAAATCAAATGCATAACTTCAGCTGCAAATAATGGCTTCTCTTTGTGTGTTGCATTAAAGCAACAGATCGCACGCGCTCATCCTAAAACAATGCTGGATCACATAGCAGTCGAATAAACGTGAAGTATTTCTCACCTTAAACTCAAAGTCGAGACGTAGATCCAAGATAAAATAGTAATCTGTGTAAGCAATCAAGACGAAAATCAAGAACATTCATATGTTAAGTTTAGGCTGTATTTGAATAATAAATGACACCATTAAGCCGAAGTTTGACAGTCATGAAAGTATCTCTTATCTGCAGTGCAGGGGCGAATAATGAGATATGCTGTTTTCCCACATTCAATTGTATTCTCGTTGACTTCAGATGAAGAATGAATTGTGAAGTGATTGATTACCTTATCTTCATCGTCTGATAGGCCTAATCCACCGCTTGAATTCATGATGAAGAGATTTATTCCGTGAATTACATGCCAGCTCGTTGTTGTTTGCTGTGTGTTCTGTCAGGAACAGCAGCTGTCTGTCTGACTGACTCCCGCCGTCTCACCTGGACGTTGAGCCTCTGGTCACGTGACTCCCGCCGTCTCACCTGTACTGGTGCAGCTGCGCTCCTCTCATTTCTTTCATAGCTGTGTATTTGCGGGTAAACCTGTGTGTCTTTTACCTTACAGAGCTTGTGTTCAGGTGTTGTGTGGGTTGTTTCACCTTGGAGATACAACATATAACTCGACCTCCTTAATAACACTTTATAATAAATATGAGCAGAATAACATATAGCATTCTTAAATAAACACCTTTAAATGGCTACTTAATGTTTATATCGCCTGTGTGTGTGTTGTTGAGGTCTTGTAAATACTCGGACTTGGGGTGTGCGATATATATCGTCTACAATAATATCGTAATTGTTGTTTTAACGATGTGCGATTTGACATT